TTTATCATATTGCAATAATTCTTTCAAAAGAAAATTCATCATGTCATCTGGATATTGACTATCAAAATATATTTAATATGCTTGATGAATTAAAAAATGAAACACGAAAAACAATTGAAACAATTAAACGAAGTCTTTTGTCTAGTCGACCAATTTTACTTAGTCGAGATCAACTTGAAGATTATATCAAACGTATTGAATTTGCTAATGAAATTATGTTAAATTTAGATTATTTAGTAAAAATGACATTCGATGCATATATTAATTTTATAAATATACATTGGGAAACAAATGAAAATTTTGAAACAATTGAAAAACAAAGAATTATATCGGAAAGATATGATATGTCAATGACAGAATGGCAATTTATATTAAGTAAAATTGAACGATTTCATGAAGTTGTCAAAAATTGTACTTAAGAATTCTTTTCGTTGTTATTTTTTTGTTTTGTTTTTAATTTAGCTAACATTTAAAATTATTCATTAAATTGTATTTCAAAATTCTATTTTTAAATATGATGATTTCATAGTAAAGAAATCCATAATTATGTCGTACTCATTTTCTTTTAGATTTAAGCTTTTTGATAATTATATCTCGAAATACGATGACAAGTTGTGTTTTTCAATAAAGCATTGGAATAGTAATTTCATTTGACTTTGTTAGCATAACACTAAAGATGGTCTCTCAGAAGTCGTCAGCAATTCTATGCTCATAGGATGTGAATTGAGTAAGATGTCCATTACTCGACAAGCAAATACCGGAAAATCAAATTAAAACAAAATTTTCCATTGCTCATCATGATTGATCGAATGACAATAGTCTCAAGCAAACAAGTGATTTGACAGTTGAGAATGTTCTCTTGTATAAATGCAACAGATAGAAAAATTAAGTAATTCAACTAACTTGATAGGTAGATACATCGTAAGGTTTAAATCGATTGACTATTTGTGAAATGAATTTATGATGAAAATGTGTTAAAACTTCCGTATCTTAGAAGAAACGCGTTTGGAAAAAAAAATCATTTTTAACAGTTTATTGCAATATAACATTTAACGATGTAGAAATAGGTTTAGTTCATTGAGATTTGATCGTTTCTGATTCTGGAAACGATATTGGAGGATCGAACAGAGATTCTCGATTGAAATGATGTTGAAAGCGTTTGAGAACCAGCCAATGCGTTCTAGATACTTTTTTAAAGTAAAAATTGTTTCACTATTTGAATTCTGTATTTAGGACTTTTGTCTTGCTCCTATTTCGAAGATAGACAGAATTACCTTGTGAAGTTATGGATGAGATGATCTGTAATGGTCGTCAATAATCTCCTAAATGAATATCAGCCGACCAAAGTTATAACACTAAAATCATCTTATACCATGATTTTCTCTCTGTTCTTTGCAATTTGCTTGACGCTAGCGAATTGTCTTTTTGAATAATTCGAGGAAGACCCTGTCAATGAACATTATTAGGTTCCAATTTTTATCATTGCTTTGAATTGACTCTTTGAAACTCGCATTCTGCTTTCGCATGCCAACATTGGCGTCGCATAGAGCTAAGTATCTACCCAATCAATCCGTTCGAGTTGATGCTGTATCTTCTACAGATGTACGTATCTACCTCGGTCATCAAATAGTTTTGCGCCAGTATTTTTACTCTTGTGGCGTTGTTTCATCGAATCAACTTACCAAAGATCTTATACTGAACAACAGTGATATTGTGAGGTCAACCATTACGGTACCTGTTCTACATCCTACCATGTTTTCTTTCATCTAAGTGATATTATATTTGATAGTCCAAAGGATGATCTCTGCCAGGCGAGCAATTGTGACAGGAGATAGATCGACCGATACTCTTCTAGTACGGTAAAATGGTTTATCATTTTGCTTTCAGCAAAGTAAAATTTCATTGTTGAGGTACTTTCTTTCAAAGCACGAATGTTTACGACGATTTATGGTTTGCATAGCTACATATTGATCTCCTTTTACCTTCTACAAAGTTCTCAAAAAAATTCTTTCTAAAACTTTCAGCAGAATTGCATAAGGAAGATTAACAACTTTTGTATCTTACTGTATTTTTAATTTCTAATTACAAAGTTAAACTTCTAAGATCATTTTTGTTTCTAGAAAACTTTTCTGTAATCACACGAGACAGTATTATTTATAACAATTTTAATTCTTTATTAACATCAATATCTTCAATCAAAACAATAACTAAATATGTTCAACGATTAGTATTATGTTTTCTTTTGAGTCCATCGAGGTTGAGGATGTAGTGGACGTCGTTTTTCAAGTCTGTAGATTGGAATAGAAGTTAGATTACATAAATATTCTGTATTATTGCCTGCTTGAGTACTATATATATCAAGAAAAGAAACAAAAATTAGAGATACAATTTTCTTCAATCATTTATTCGATATAATTTTCGAAAGAATGAATATTTGATTGAAATTTTCAAATGTATATGTAGACTTACTTTGACGTTAAATTGATTTGAGGAATAGGGCAGGAATTTGTTTGATTCTGTTCTTCAATTATATTAGAAGATAAATTTTGTTGTACCATTGATTCCAGTTTGCTTTGAGCCATAGGAGAAGAAATTATTTGATTTTGTTCTTCAATTATATTCGAAGA